TGTGTTCCTTGGGGAACACCAGATGTCGTAACTACAGGGGCAGATGATGCCCCCTCAATTACCACTGATTGGGTACGCTGTGTTAGGAACGATTCAAACCAGTTAAGTAGTGGGCCACGAATTCCGTAATAATCAAGTTTCTTCAAGAGTCGGCGATGGGGAACTTTGTCGAATGCTTTTGAAAAATCAAGGATTGCGTCGTTAATTGTTTTGTTAGACTGGATAGCACTTGCTATGTCATGAATGGTACATATGAGCTGTGTTTCTGTTGATCGTTTCGCTCTAAAGCCATGTCGACAATCAGTGAGCACCCTATATCGTGAAAGATGCTTCACAACTTGGCTTTGTACAATATTCTAAAGTACCTTTGATGCAAAGCAGGTAAGTGACACGGGCCTATAATTTGAAGGATACGATTTCTTTCCTTTCTTGTGAATAGCGCATACGTTGGCGTGTTTCCATTGGATAGGCACTGTTCCGGTATGAATACAATCTTGATATATGTCAGTAAGGACATGTGATATTTCATAGGCATTTTCCTTTAAAAACCAGGGTGGAATTCCATCCGGGCCATACGCTTTATCTGCCTTTAACTCGCTAAGTTGCTTTTCAACTCCACGGGTTGTGATTTTTATTGTTCTAATAGTCGGGATAGGGCTTTCGCCAAGGTCTGGGATATTCTCTGACTCTTCGTTGTTGAAAACACTGCAGAACTGACTATTTAGCACTTGAGCCTTAGCTCTCGGTTCGATAAACACTTCATTTCTAACTTTGAGGTCCTGGGTATCTGTACCTTCTTTTCCTAGTTTTTTGATGTGTGACCAATAGCCGTCGGGTTTTGTTTTATGGAATCACCGAGAAAGTCAGAAAGATAATTGTTCCTGGACTCATTCAAGTTCTTGTGTAATTGTTTCCTGACTAATTGAAATTTATTCTAATCGAATTGGCTTCCAGATTTCTTCGCTCTGTGGTATAGCCTTTGCTTTTCTCTTGTCTGTCTTCTCAGGCTACGATTAAACCACGGTAGGTTATTGCGGGAGGTATTAAACTTGTGTGGTATACAGGAGTCCATAATTCCTGTGAGTCTTTGTTGAAATATATTCCACTTTGTGTCTACGGATTCGTTCTTCATTTCTACAAAGTCGTTCGCAAAGTCTTGTAACTCTTTCTTTATAGCGGTGGTATCTGCCCTTTTCCTCATATAAAACTTGCGTCTCACTGGCTTTTTCTTTCTATATCCCAGGTTCACTTCAAAAAGAACCATATCGTGATCGCTTATTCCCGGGATTACCCTAACATTGTTAATGGTATTGACATTGATTTGTCAACGCAAGATCGAGAATGTTATCATCTTTAGTAGGTTCCTTTACTAGTTGGGTAAGTCCATGTTCATCGATGATTTCAAGTAACAGTTCAGAATTGAAGGAGCAATTTGTCAGTTTAAGGTCGTTCCATTTAAGTTCCGGGGCGTTGAAATCTCCCGCCACGATTACATTGCTAGTATTTAATATATCGCCCAATTTGAATAAAGATGAGCCAAATTCATGTAGACTGCTTATATCGGTCTTGTTTGGGCGGTAGAAGGAAGCAAAGAAAAGATTTTGATCTTTTATTTTGGATCTGACATTGGGTCCAAATAATCTCACATTCCGTATTCAAATCATCGCGATGAGTGACGATAATGTCTTTCTTCACTGCTTGGAAAACGCCACCATGGTTGTCAGATATGCGGTCTGTTCGATAGATGTTATAATTATCTGGGAGTATTTCGCTGTTCTCTATATCTGGGTATAACCAGAACTCATTGCCAAGAATTATATCTGGTTTGTATTGATCGACGATTGTAGCAATATCGGCGACTTTGTTCTTGATGCTTTGAAAATTTACGGTAAGGCAAGTCAATTTGCATTTTGTATGCTTCTGATTAATCCTTAAGGTCTGCTCACATTCTTGACATTTTTGCCACTTCTTTGGGCCCGGGTTTGCTTCAATATCTCCACAACGTATAGGAGAAGGACGAAAGCAGGCACAACAATTTATAGAACTGTCAAACTTCATCACACAGACAAGCCGTGGATGACGGCTTCTCTTAAACACCTAATATTAGAGCGTCAAGCTGCCTATCATAGTGGTGATCTCCATTTATGGCGTGTTCAGCGTGACAAGGTGCGAACATCTATTGTTCATCTATTGGGAAAAGCTGCACTCTAGACCCTATGCCAACATCCCTAGTGATAGATTGCCTTGACGTGCTTTTAGCGATCATATCGAAAATGATCAATTTATCACTTGAGTCTGGGCTATTTGCTGATGACTGGAAGTGTGCGCTTGTCCTTCCTCTGCTGAAGAAGTCTGGGCTAGACCTTCTATACAAAAATTACAGACCTGTCGACAACCTGCAGAATTTTTCCAAGCTGACTGAAAGGATGGTGTACGAGCAGATAAACACCCATATGATGACTCATTCACTATATCATGAATTTCAGTCTGCATATCGTAAAAATCATAGTACGGAAACGGCTCTTGTTAGAGTCACTAACGATATTCTCATGAAAATGAACACTCAAGAAGTCACCTTGCTGGTCATGCTCGATCTTAGCGCCGCTTTCAATGTGGTTAATCATAACATCCTCCTTACTCGTTTGAATGAGGAGTTTGGGAAATGCGTATTGGCGTTGGAATGGCTCAGGTCGTATATGGCGAAAAGAGGCCAGAGAGTCTCTGTAACGATGTCACTTGGATGGCCGCGCAATAACCCAGATTAAACTATAAAACAAAACTAGTCTTTATTCATCCGCCATAACAACCGGAAAGCATGGCCCATACAAATATCCATGATCCTTTGCAATGTCTTAGAACTTCTGATAGGACAGCTTCCGGTAGAATAATATCAAAACATTACATCCCTTCCTTTCTTTAGAGACAAACAACCGCAAAAAAAAATCTATCTGCATGAAAACTGTTCAATAAAACTTAGTAACATGAGCGTATGAGCGCATGATCGCTACCTCATAGAATCTGCTGTAATAGTCTACGACTACGAGTAAACTTTCTCCAGTGGGAAGAGGACCCAACAAGTCTATGGCGATGTCTTGCCAGGGTCCAGTAGGCGGCTTTACTCTTTCCATGGCTCAGGGGCCTGAAGTTCTCCTGCGACTTGGCATCTATGACAAGACTTACACATCCGCTCTGCGTCTGAGTCAATCTTTGGCCACCCAACCTTTGTCCTTAAACGTGCCTTCATTTTAACGATGCCTTGATGTCTTCTCCGTTTTAACTTACATGTATCTCAAATATTGTAGTTAGACCTTGTAACCGAAAAGCCCACGTTGGGAGTTACAATAAACGTATGTATGCATGTTTTGAATTATTTCGGTTTTGATCTAATTGTTGTGCGGTTTTCCAGCTTTTGATGAATTTTTCTTCGATTTTGCGGTTCCTAATAGACCCCAAGGTTAGGGATCAGATTATACAAATTTTTCACCTACTTAGCTGTAAACAAATTGATATGTCAACGGCAGACCAACAGATATCGATTTTCTGAAATGATACCGGAACGCCTCTATGGAATTTCCGACTGAACGCCGCAATGTTGAAATCTAATTCAACTTTTCTTCGAGGCAGTTTCGACAAATCGTGTCGCAGTGAGCACAGACGTGACTAAGTCCAAGCCCTTTGAAAGACTAAAGGTGTGACTATGAGGTAGACGCTGAATGCAAAGAGTCTTTGACTCCTCGAGTCGTTTGCTCATCCATCCTCCAAGTTCACAAGGGGTGAGCCTTTTATACGAGTGCATCTTACGAGTGAATCTTACAAGCGCAACTTTCATCAAACTTATGAGGGAGCCTATGAGCACTCTCATCAGCAAAATTATAAATCAAACGTAAGCTTAAACAGAGCTAGCAGAATCATCAGTGGCACAACTGATCAGTCCATAACATCCAACCGAAACACTCATGTGGTCAAACAGAACGAAACGCTGTCAGAAGACTCATCTGATGGTAACAGAAATCATACTGAAAAATTTACAGGAACGAAGGAGTAGTTCAAAGTCTACTTGAATTAACGTCCGCCATGATAGGAAACCATCAGAATTAGCGTAGAACAAAATTTTGAACTGGTGGTCTGTTCAAGATGTAGACTGCAGACAGCAGACCGGGTAAAAAATGCAGACTAAGAACAAAATGCAGATAACAGACTACAGACCGGGTGCAAAATTCAGACTGAGAATATAAACTGTTTTTTCATCTGATACGCGATAACACGTCATCTTACAAATTACCGTAAAATATGACTGCTGTTCTGCAGTCTACATTTTGTACTGACCGTTAGTCAAAATTTGAATTCTGATTATTTACTCAACAACACCCCAGCAGTTCAAAGTAATTTCACGTAGTTTCAACTTTATCCGAGTTACCCATTGGTTGCTTATGTTTACATGACAGTATTAAAGTGTTTTTTTGGTAGAAGTAAATTAAATATCTTCAGAACCCATATCCACGACTTATCTACAGTTTCCTTTTATTAGTTTGGCTTGTCACAGATCCAAGGCTGTATTATCCTCTTCATCAAGATAAAAAGGCGCAAAACCAGGATGGAAGACGAAAAAAAGGAGGCAATGATAATGTTTATCTCTGGAAGGCCGTCATCGTTCGTTCCAAACTACGCATACAGCTATTAGATCATTCAACGTTTAAAGGTGTCTGTATCGTCAAATCAGAGGTAAATATAGCTTATCATCATCTACCAGCAAATTATTATTTTTCCACTATTGCACAATTTTACTCTATTAGGGAATCAGAACGCGCAACCACGTCATGGTATTTTACTGTAAAACGGAGAGAATACATGGATGGAAAGTGGAGTATCGTAATAAGTGCATCAGGAGTTCTTGTTGGTCATAAAAAAAATGTACGCGATCGGTGATCGGTGATGGGGCTGTAGAATATATTTCTATCCTTTTTTTGTGTTTTTCTTGCGTAGTTCATGACGTTTCAGTTTAAATTTTCTACAATTTTTTAACTCACTTTTCATCGAATACAATCCGCATAACGAAAAATGTTACCGGCAACTATATGAGGAGCTGAAATCTCTTCCTTGGGAAAAAACTGAAGTTCCACAGTGTCGCGGAGGAATGTCCTTAATTGATTCTGACGCCATGCTACAAGCCATTGTGGAATACATGAAGGACAACTATCCCACTACCCCAGAGGAGTTTAACTTTCAGGCTGAACTTAAAGTTGTAAGTCACTGGCACTGGTTCGAAGACAAAACGGTGCCCCGACGTAAACCAAGTCCTCGTGAGGACTTTCGTATAAAGAAGGCAGTAAAGAAATCGTTTCAAAAATGGAGCAGAGATCTAAGGGATCAACAGTCAACGGTAACTAACGAAATGACGGAAGACTTAAATGAGTCCTCGCTTCAGAGTTGCGACGAATACATATCAGGTAAAGCCTGAAGTTTAGTGTCACACTGCACGTGTTTGACCACAAATGATTAAATACTTTGTGATTGTATCTCTTGCACACGCATAAAAATTGTTATCACATTACCTCCCGACACTCATAAGATATGGCCACTCCTTCTGCTGCAGCGAAAAGGAAAATTAATTAGACTGCATAAGTAAGTTTAATAAAGGGGTACACCTGGCATAGATGCGTGGTTTTAGGGAAGCAATGCTCTTCTCCTTAACTCCTACAAGGCCAGAAATATTTCTCGGCAATGAAATCTCCTTTTCATCCCCGTGGCCGCAGTTTTTGGTGGTGCCATGTGTCACCTAGCAAATGCTTTGTATTGTGGTCGCGACCAATCCAAAACGATATAGAGAGGTCGATTGATAAACAGAGTAAGTAGAGAACTCGCCCAGTTTATGCACATACCACTAAAGTCAGCAGTGGTTTTCGTGGTTTATTTGTCTTGATTGGCTGAAGCTAATTCAAGTTGATTTATGTTGTTTTCTGTGCAGGGCTGAAAGAAGATATTTGTGCCATCCAAATGTATTATAACAAAGAAGGTAACCACTCAGGAAAAACTGAAAATAAATTGAAACTAAAACTTGTAAATGTACTTTACAGGAATAACGTTATGTTAGTGAACAATGTTATATTAGTGAAATAGACTTTATTAGTGGGTGTTGTAGGGACGCAAGTCCAAATGGAGGAAATACGATGGTGGTACAGGTAGTGGATTCTTCCCCCTGTTCCAGCCCGAGCCTTGTGTCTCTGCTTTGTGTTGTGGTGGTGGCTGCATGTAGTCTATGCTTGCTTGCTCTGCTCTGCTTTGCTCTGATTGGCTCGCTCTGCTTGCTTGTAGTGTTATGTGTAGTTGCTGCCTGGCACTGGTTATAACATCAACGGGGCATCCATTTGGTATTAGTCCCCTGGCTCGACATAGCCTCTTTCACCTCAAGACCGATCGTGCGTCGTTTCCGACCACATCCTCCCAGAGGTGACCAACGGTAACTTGGAAGTGCAAACCCCCAGCCTTAAACACGACGGATCTAGAGGAGTCACCCTGAATAAAAAATCTAGGCACGTAGTGTCTGTACCCTGGTGTGCTAGTCAGGCTTGACGTGTGGAGACTTAGGGTCGAGGGACATAACCAAGAGTCTGGAAACCAAGCTCCAACGGCAGAACATGGGGGTGAGGATGCAATTTCTCAACGACTGTGAAGAAACTACAGCCCCGTGGTCGCCTCGGCCTTCACAGCCCACTGAGCCACTATGGAAAATCCCTGGGCCTAAAGAGTGGGGTTAGCCTGCGCGTGCTGACCTCCACCTCAAGTCTACCAAGCGCAGGGGGAAGAAATGTCCTACAGCGGTGAAGAAAGGGCTAAACGACAAGTATTGGACGTACTGAGTCGCAGCTCAGGATATTTGTCGCTTGCCTGTTGAGGAAGCAACAAAAGCATTCGGCAGCACCCTTAGTGACCAAGCAGCCCTTTTAGCCGCGGCCGACAGTTATCCCACACCAGCGGTAAGAAACAGGAAAAGAAACCTACACCAAAGACAACAACTCTCAATTCAGTAGGCTGGAATATCTGCCCAATGCAAGATTCCAAGGAAACTGACCGACTACAACAACGCGCTGCTGGCACGGAAACTAGCCCGACTGGACATCGGCATCGCTGCTGTCAGCAAGGTGCACTTTGCAGAACAAGGGTCACTCACGAAGAAGGGAGCAGGATACAACTTGCACTGGTCTGGCAAAAGCAAGGAGGATCGTCGCCTGCCCAGAGTAGGCTTCATGTTGAAGAGCACGCTAGCCAGTAAGCTGACCAGCCTCCCCGTGGGACATTCGAATCACCTTACGTCTCTCCGCCTTACCCTCCCGGGAAGTCAACTCGCCACCATCATCAGTTTGTACCCTCCCACACTCATGGCAGACCCAGCGACCACCATCATCAGTTTGTACTCTCCCACACTCATGGCAGACCCCACGACCAAAGAAGCCCTCTACAACGACTATGAGATTAAAATTGTTTTACACAATGTTTCTTCATTTTCGTGTTCAGTGCGTCTCCTTCACCAACCCTGCCAGATTTCAATCTAGTCCGAGGGCCGTTAAATTCGCGATTTCGCGTCTGTCATTATTTGACTATGTTCTGGAAGATGATCGCAGGACCTAGCAGAAGTGACGCCGAAGGTTCACCGCGAAAATCTCACTTGACAAAATGTCAAGCAAACACAACAAAATGCTTTGCTCTATTCTTACAAAAACATACAAAAATGACGGGGAATCGATGCGTAATTGAAAGCTGTAGCAATTGTGCAGACTATGCTGGTGGTATTTCACTGCATCAAAACCTTGCAAATAGGTCAGAGCGGGAAAAACGTGTACGATTTGTGGGAACCCGCCGGGCAAACTTCAATCCAGCAGGAATATTTGTGATCTGCTCTGAGCACCTCTTGGTAGACTATTTTGAGAGATCTGTGCACTTCGAAGGATCTAGGCGAAGAATTCTGCCGGGTTCAGTGCTTATCGTTCCAAAAAAAGGGACAAGAAAAACCGTTCTCAGTGCGATCCGGCGACGAAAGGGAAGTCTACGTGATTTTTCACCCGTTTACATGTCAGCTGATCAATATTTGCCTTTAACAGCTCTCTGGCAGAATAGCTTACACATAGGAAGTACTCGGCGAACATTCTAAGTAAGAACGATCAAATAGCCGAATTAAGGAATGAGATTTCTGACCTCAAAGAACTCGTTTGAAACAAAAGAAATGTAACGAAATGCAAATGTGTCCTCTGATTCTAAAAAAGCTGGCTTTAACGTCAGCGAAAGCATAACAAACAGCTTCAGACATTGAACGTAGAAACGCTTTAACATGTAGGGTTGCAGCTAAAGAAACGGAGAAAAATGAAAAATTCTTTAAAATCTCTCAAACTATCAACCATCTGACAGCCAAGTCAGCGTGCTATCAAAGGGTCTCAAATTCATCCTAACACCCACGACAAACGAATGTAAAATCAGGCCAACTCTTGCAAGACTTATTCGCAAGACGAATGCGCCCCCTATACACCTTTCACGGACAATACGTAGGACCACTTCCGTTTCATAGCAAACTGAATCCCACCAGTTCAGACATCTGTTGCCCTTCAGAGCTACGTGGAAAATTGTCGCAACACAACCTGCAGAGATTACTGTATCTAGGTCAAAAAAAACTTTTTAACGCAATGAGGTTACGGCTCTAAGAGAGTTGAAAGAACTTTGCTTTAAACGTCACAGAAGCCACTCAACAACAAGGGGGCCAAAGTGGAACTCGACAACAGAGTTCTCTTCAAACTTCTCAAAGTAACGATAGTAGAAGCCAATTCGACTTGTTTCGCTGTCAGAGCAACAGGTAAACTTTCCTCGGCGACTGCCTTAACAAAGTCAAATTCCTCCCACTCGAGCCTTTAGATTCGTATTGATTGAGTCTCGAGAGAGAGTCTGGAATGTTCCCTTTGCTAGGCCGATAAACCACTCTGTAGTCATAGCCCTTTAGTCTCAGAACCCATCGTTCAATACGTGCTGATGGTTTGGAGAGCTTGCCAAAAATACACTCGAGTGGCTTGTGATCAGTTTCAAGTTCCAGTTTCCGTACACATAAATGTGGAACCTCTCGCAAGCCCATAAGAGGGCAAGGGCCTCCTTCTCGGTCTGGCTGTATCTCGCTTCCACTTCGGTGAGGTTCCTGGACGCGCATGAGATTGCTCGCCACCCGCCGTCTTGAAGTTGAGTCAGCATCGCACCCAAACCCTGTGGACCTGCATCGGAAATAATGCGCGTGTTACAGTCTCCCCTGAAATACGCAAGCGAAGTGGCCTGTACAACAAGCTGTTTCAACTTCTGGAAGGACTTTTCCTGTGTTTCACCCCAGATGAAAGGCTCATTTTTGTTCAGGAGGCTCCTGAGTGGTTCTGCTTCTTGTGCGAAGTTGGGAAGAAACTTTGCAGAATACTGTACAAGCTGAACAAATGATCTGACCTGTGAAGCATCTTGTGGAGCGCTTGCCTTTAAAATGGCAGCTACTTTCTTTTCACTAGGTGCAACTTAGGTCATGATCGAAGAATGTCAGCTTGGGAAGACGAAACTGGCCTTATTCCCCATTCAGTGTTAGTCCTTTCTCTTTCAATCGGGTCAGTACGGCATGTAAATTCCTGTCGTCTTCCTTTATGCCACAACCATGCACAATCAAATCTACTCCCTCGCAACCATGTAAAACATCCGCCACAATTTTCTGGTACTTTTCAGACGCCGATGTTACCCCAAACATCAAACGTTTTTATCTGTATAAACCACGGTGTGTAACAAACGTTGTGATCTCGCACGATCTTTCATTAATTTCCACCTGGTGGAAACCCCACTCGAGGTCGAACTTGGAGAAAACAGTTTAGCCATTGAGGTCGTAAAAGACTTCCTCAATTGTGGGGATAAGATGTCTTTCCCTCTCTATTGCTGAATTTGCCCTGTGCAAGTCCACGCAAATCCGAATGTCACTATCTGTCTTCGGGAACACAACCAACGGCGAGACCCACTCAGTTGGGTTGTGTGACACCTCCTCGATAATATCTTTTGCTAACAGCTCATCCAACTTCTCGTCAACCTTGGCTCTTAACCCAAATGGCAGTCTCCGTACGGGTTGTGCAACAGGCTTGACATCGTCTTTTATGTGTAATTTCAGCTGGAAATGCTTCAGTTTCCCGACCCCTGCGAAAACCTCTCTGTACTTATCACGGATGTCGGCATCACTTCCTTCTGTAGTTAATGAATACACATCTGGACCGACCCTTAATACGCCCAACCTCTCTGCAGTGCTCTTTCCGAGTAGAGGTCTTCCTGGACCTTTAACCACTGCGAAATCATCCACACAGCTGATGCCACTAATCTCGCATACAATCTCAGACACAAATGTCCCAATCACGTCAATAGGGTCTTTCTGCCCATAATCAAACAGCTTTTTGCTTGATTTCTTGGATTCACACTGGACACTCTTCTTCTTCTTCAAAATTTCCCAGGTTGCTTGGGCGATCACATTGCATGACGCGCCAGAGTCAATAAGTACCGCGGTTAACATCACTCGTCCAATCTTCAAATCTACTTCACTACCACTTGTAGGCTGACCAACTCCAACTGCAAATGTATAATAATCTTGTTGGCCAGGGGCTGAATCCTCAGATAGTTGGTAAGCTCTCCCCCGTGTATTATTCTTTCGCTCGTCATCTCTTGCGAAAGGTTTGCGTTCCTTTGTTTTTCAACAGACTGCAAAATATCCAATCTCGCCGCATGCATTACATTTCTTGCCACGGGCAGGACAATTKGGGTCGCGTGCCATATGGTGAGTGTAATTACAGCGAAAACAGCCTCTCACTTTTGCCTCCTGAGAACCACCAGACGGTTTACCGGGCTTATACCCTCTGCCCCTATCTTGTGCTGTCCTTTTTCCTTTTCTTTTGCAATGAGGTCGGCCGGAAACAGCATTTACCTGACCGGATGACTGATCCATAGCCTTGACCTGCATGTTTACCGCTTCCTGCACACGATCCAAATCTTGTAAATCTTTAAGAGTAACATTTGCTTTCTCAAGGAACCTACGACAAAGACTGGGATCCTTGCATTTCTCAATAAGCTGATATCTTATCGCCTCATCGACATTTTCAAACTCGCAGGAGATCGCTTTCTACCTCAACCGACAAACAAACTGATCCACCGACTCTCCTGACGCCCGCTCCATTTGCCTAAACTGATGCCTATCGAATGGAAAATTCAACTGTAGTGCGAAATAAATATCCAATAACTCCATACTCCCAGCGAGCAGCTTCATATCCGCACCGGTCAATAACGTGTAATAAAGCTCCTGTAAATTTAACCCTCCACTATGCAACAGCAATGCAGTTTTCTGTTCATCCTTCGTAATACCTTTTGCCACCAAATACAGATTAAACGAGCGTTTTCAAAACTACCAGCGAACTGCAAGTGTATTCGGATCTTCGTTTGGATTGAATGGAGGAAGGCTAGCCACATCAAGAAGAGGAACAAACGTTGCAGCTGGCGAGGCCTGTGAACTTAAAGTTGCACTCGAACTGGTTCCACTGTTCACCATCTTGTGAGAAAATGCCAAGACCTTCCACACAAATGACTTCCAAAAATATCCCCTACCTCACAAAAGGAATTGAAACCTCGTCGCCAATGTAACGATGTCACTTGGATGGCCGCGCATAACCCAGATTAAACTATAAAACGAAACTAGTCGTTATTCATCCCCCATGACAAGCGGAAAGCATGGCCCATACAAATATCCATGATCCTTTGCAATGTCTTAGAACTTCTGCTAGGACAGCTTCCGG